GACATGGTTTCTATCTCTCAAGATGAATATAAAGATTTCTCTAGGCCCATAATGCCATTCTTGCCCAATCAAGTGCAGCTTATTTTGTTACCAAGTCACCTAAGCCATCATCATAGGTCATAGATTCTAGAGCTTTAGGTCATATGACTGGGCCTCGAGATGTGTTCTCATCACTCTCCTATCTCACAATCTCATCAGCTAATGGAATTACATCGTAGGCCATAGGTTAGTAAGCTTACCAAGTCTCTTATTTCTTGATTGATCACCTTTTATCCTTCAATAATTGTTTTATAGGTTTGGATGGTGGTGGAGAGAAAATTGTTCAGTACTTACTCCGCATCAGTGACATTCTTAACTAGGTTATCCTTCTTTTTGAGCTTTTAATTAGATGGAAAAAAATGAGAGAAACTATTGGTGTGAATTTGTGGGTTTAGTAGGTGAAAGGGGATTAGATATATGTGTTTAGAATCAATATCTTCAACGTTTTAATTTGATGCCTACAACATTTAAAGAATTATACATAAATTGTTGGCATGTGAGCTTGTTGGCTCAAGACATGTTTAGGAGGTGGGGTGAGTTATTGAACAAAAGAAAAAAAAAAGGTGGGGTGAGTTGAATTAATTTCCTAATCTAAATATTTCCATCGTAATTTTGTGCCTGCCATTCACTAAATCCAGATGTTTCATACTGTCCGGAATGATGAACATCCATGAACTCAAACAGGACTTGTGAGACTTCATACTTTTTTTTATGAACAATGGGTGATTTTATTAAGAATTAGAAATATAAAAGATACACAGAGAGTTCCCAAAACGAGGCATGAGATGCAGCCTCAGATCAAAACAAAAAATTACAGTTTAGCCCAAAACATCTGATTCCTATGCACCCCTTGTTTAGCTAGTGAGTCTGCTATAACCCATATGCAGATCTTTCCCATTGGATTAAAGAGTTGTGCCACAAGTACTATATATCAAAGCCCTATGTTTAGATTTGGAAATTACTCTAGCCTCTAGGATACAGAAGTATTTAGAATGAGCTCATGAACTATAAGGTGGCAAGACAAACTCATGGAAATAGAAGGACATCAAAGCTATATCTTACTTGTAAAGCCTTTTCTGCTTCTCTTTCAATCCAAAGAATTGCATGATCTGATGTGGCATTGGCTGATAGAACAATATGCTCAAATCTTCCATCAACTGGAATGGCAGTCCGCACTTCTGGAGGAAACCTCCCACATCTGTATGCCAAATATTCAGGAGCATGGTTTCACTAAAAGTAGAACCTTCGTGCATTAGCAAACCACTGAAGGCTTCTTCAGCACTCATCAGGGTTCACAATGGATAAATAACACATAACTATAGGAAAGCCATATGGAACTAATTTATGCTGATAATAGAAATAAACACTAAACTAAAAGATGAAAGTTTCCATGTCCACTTGTTTAGAAGATTAGATGGGTTGATTTTTCATGGTAAAACTATACATTAAGCCAATTATAAGATGGTCAGCATCTCTTGTAGGAACTAGGAAGATACTGTGAATATGACAAAACAGACAAGCAAAACCAATTTGACCAATATTTTGCACTATTATTATTAATTTTTTTTTTGAGAAGGAAAATGGGCTACACAATGGGGTAGCCCTCCCTGAACTCCAAGACACCCCCAACCTTGGTGAAGGCAGTATTTGATCCCATGTCTCTGCTATGACCAGCCAGAGACCTTACCGACCAAGCTAGTTGGCACCTTCTGACCAACATCTAGCACTTCTCCATGAGAAAGAGTTCTGTAAGGGAACAGAATTTTAATTTTCACTTGCGACCTCACACTTGTTTGAGTGGCAGTTTTATACCTCCACTACATGTACTGAGAATGGAAATTGATGGTAGATTGGCTGTTTATTTATTTACTTTTCGGGTAAATGGTTCTATAGATTGATTGCTCATTTTTGAGCTAATTCAAAGGATCAGGTAGGTAACCTTCTTCCTACTGACAATATGATAGAACAGTTAAACATATAATTATTACTTGGTAGTTGGTATTTGGTGAATTCTACTATTCTGGAAAGGAATGCTTTCCCTTTACATGGCAGCTATTTCTCCATAGATGCAAATGCAATACTCACTTTCACCCCTAAACTAAGAAATTGTAGAGAGATTGGGCCCAGTGAGCCTTAGTTTTGTTTATTTATTGTCTCTTTATTTCTACTGTAGTGGGCTTCCCTTATGGGCCTCAATACTTTTATTTTCTTATTTGCCTTGGGTTAGCTGCCGAACTAGGGGCACCCATGTAATTTTCCTTTCTTTTTTGTTTCAGCATATATAAGTGATTAAGAGATAGATAGAGAGAGAGAGAGGTTTGATTAAGCCCTCTTCTCCTCCCTTTTCTTCGTTTTTCTTCTTCTTTCTCTTGAACAACTTCTTATTCCTTCTTCCTTTCTTTATTTTCTATTTTACAATCAGGATACTGTTGGATTATATTTCTTCTTGGTATCAAAGCAGGTTTCCACTTCTTGATTTTCTCCTTTTAGGCCCATACACAATGTGTATGGAGAATTAAGTTGCTGATCAATTGAAAATTGATGTTACCTGGTTGGGGGAGATTTCTGGAGAAGATTTTAACACTTAGATTAGGGCCCAAGATAAGTTCTTGGAGATTTTTCCAAGAAACCCTAGCTGACTGGAGAATTAAGGGCTCTAAAGACAGTTTGAAGCTGGTGCTTGGGACTTAAAAGGGAGTTTACTAACTTATTTGGAGATCGACTCTGGATGAGAAGCTTCTGAGCCCGTGGTAGGAGCAGCCATAAGTTCTCTCCTTCTCCCATTCTTCTGGGTACTATGAAACCCTAGTTTTTGGCTACAGAGAAGCAAGTTTGACTTTAGGTTTTTGATTAGTAGTACCTTATTTTTGTTTCTTTTGCTTTCGTTTAATCAATGGAACAAACTGAAGTTGAGACAAAATATCTTACAGACTCTAGATGTAGTCAGGGGGTTTGTGGAGACTGTTTGGGGCAATGACTACTGTGAAGCTAGATGGGACAAACTATTTGGCATGGTCTCAATCAATAAAAATCCATGTCTGTAGCAGAGGGAAATGGGGGGATATCACTGGGAGTAAGGCAAAACCTAAGGATGATGATCCTACCTATGAAGAGTCGATACATGAAAATTATACTATTGCGCTGGTTAGCGAACTCTATGCAACCTCATATCAGTCAACACTACTTGTGGGTAGATATTGCTAAGGAGGTATGGGACAGTGTTAAAGATACCTATTCATAGAAGTTGAATGTTGCTAGGGCCTATAAATTAAAGAACGATGTGAATAATTTTGAGATAGGGGGAGAAGCTCTTAGTTGTGTATTTCTCAATGCTGAAGTCTCTTTGGCAGGAAATTGAATTGATGGAGACAGTTCAATGGGGGTGCACAGAAGATGATGAAACTCATAGGAAACTGGTGGAAAGGAATTGGATTTTTGAGTTTCTCACTTGACTCAATCCTGAATATGATATAGTTAGACAAAATGTCTTAGCTAAAGATGATGTGACCCTTTCTTAGGCTTATGCTATAGTCAGTAGTGAGGAAAGTAGGAGACAAGTTCAGATTGTGAAGGAAATGAGGTTTTGTATGAATACTGCAAGAAACAAAGCACACAAAAGACACATGTTGGAAGTTGCATCCAGAGCTCCTACCTCCCAGATTTAAGAATATTAATAATGACAAAAAAGTGGGAATGGGAAAGGAGGCTAGGCTATTGTAGCCACCTCCTCTAATAGTGAGAAGGGGCAATGTGATGAGAAGTCTGTAGGGGAACAACTTGCAGCCGCCAGGGCTGAATATGAGAAGTATGGCCATGTCATCAATCATCTGGAATCTACTTCTTTAGCTTCTGCTCCACCAAAAAATATCTCCACTTCTGTCTATACTCACTCAGGTATTCGTGCTATTGTGAACCATGCCCTCTACTTCAGGTAATCATAGGATCCTTTAGATAATAGATTCTAATAGATTCTGGTGCTTCTAACCATATGATTAGTGTTTCCACTTTATTCACCACTTACCAACTTTTATCTGGCAGCGAAAAATATCCCTTGTTGATGGTTCTCTTGCCCCTATCATAGGCAAGGGAGACATCAGAACCTCATGTTGGACAACCACAACTTTCACCTTAGACTCCCTTACTTTGACCTCCATACTTCATGTACCAGAACTTAATATTAATCTTCTTTCAGTTAGTAATTTGACCAAATCTTTGAACTACAGTGTAACCTTTTTTTGCTTCTTATTATGTTTTTTCTTTTATTTCTTTTGAAGGGCTACAATGGGGATAGCCCATCCCCCAACCCAGATGCAAGCGGGATTTGATCCCCAAGTCTCCGCTACAACCAGCAAGAGACCTTACCAACCAGCTGGTTGGAATCTTACCCCTTCTTATTGTGTTTTTCAAGACAAAATCTTGAAACGTGGTTGGGAGTGACCATGTGGCGAATGGGATATATGTTTTAGACATGCCTGAGTAGAGCCCAATACAGCCTTAGAAATCAGTTTTTGGATCTATAGTGGCATAGTTAGTTACTTGTGTCATGTTATGTCACTATCGTCTAGGTAATCTTTCTTTTTCTTCATTAAAGCTTTTATTTCCTAATTGTTTGAAGGAGTCAGTTTATCAAGTTTACATTGTGAGTCCTACAAGTTTTGAAAGCAATGTAGAAACTCTTATCTTGCAAGTAATAAAAGATATACTTTTCCTTTTAACATTGTTCACTCTAATGTATGGGGGCCTTACCATTTACCTTGTTAGGAGGCTATAATTATTTTATTCTATGCATTGATGATTTTTCTTGCTATACTTGGCTTATCTTATTCTATGCATTGATGATTTTTCTTGCTATACTTGTTCACTCTAATGTGTGGGGGCCCTACCATTTACCTTGTTAGGAGGCTATAAATATTTTATTCTATGCATTGATGATTTTTCTTGCTATACTTGATATCTCATTTGCTATCAGTGTGGTAAGACAATTTATGCAAAGCCCTTGAATTCCTCACTGGGACGTCGTTCTTAGAATTATGCAATATTTGAAGGGGGCTCCAACTCGTGGGTTACTGTACAAGCCAGGAGGTGGTCTTGAAATAATTGGTTATATAGATGCAGATTGGGCAGGCTCAGTATCGAACAAAAGATCCACTACAGGTTATTGCACCTTTCTTGGAGGAAATCTAATGACATGGAAGAGCAAGAAGCAGACTGTTGTAGCTAGGAGTAGTGCAAAAGCAGAATACAAGGCCATGGCGCACACTGCATGTGCACTAGTGTGGTTAAAAAATCTTTTGCAAGAAATCGGGTTTTCAATAAGCAAACCCATGAAGCTATACTATGACAACCAAACTGCAATTCACATCTCATTCAATCTAGTTTTTCATGAGAGAACTAAGCACATAGAGGTAGATTGCCATTTTGTAAGGGAAAAAGTCCTCATGGTGTCATAAGTACAGAGCATGTGAGAACAAGTGATTAGTGGGCAGACATGTTGACAAAAGGGTTGAGTTCGGGAAGAGTGAGCTATATATGTAACAAGATGGGACAATATGATATATACTCTAACTTGAGGGGGAGTGTTAGAGTCGGCTAAGGAAGGGTATTTCAGTCTTTTCTATTTAAATATTATGTTAATTACATGCCCCATACTTATGTAGGGGCATATTTGATTTTGTACACTGCTTTTGATAAATAAATATATGGTCAGCTAGGAGAGTCTCTTAGACTTCTCAGTTTGACACTTCTTTCTCTTTTCTTCTTCTTATTCTTCTTCTCCTTCTCTCTCTTTCTCTCTTCTCTATCTCTGAAACTAGTTCGACTAAACTATTCTTACATTATTAAAAGGAAAATACAAGAAAGATGACCAGAAATCACCTGAAAATCTAATCTGTAGATTTTATAGAGAGTTCACAATCACCACAACTTTACAACATATATCTAGGTTAAACCCACTGACCCACTAAGTGGTAGGTTTGAAGCATTGGTATGAAAAGCATGTTTGGCCTTGTTGTTAGTCATATGATAAGACCACTACACATTCTACCCAAGAGGAGCATTAGGAATTTTCTAATTACTTTATGATAATGTTCTTTTTATTTTTATGCTTTATTTGTATTTTTTGTGGTGATGTTGTTGCCATGATGGTCCTATAAGCATTATGGGGGTTTCTTATGACACTTACATGTCAAAATAAAAACAAATAATAGAATGTGAAATGATAGGTGCATCTTGATCATCTTAAAGTAAATTATTTATGAACTTGCATCTTTAGCTTCAAGAATTATAGGATCTAGTGCTGGGTTCCAGGCAAGGACATTTCCCGAGCATACAGGTAACTACATATAGAATTAACTCAAAAGCTTAGAAGTTATAGTACCTGCAAAATTTTCTTTCTACTATATGATACATCCTCCCAGGAGCATAAAGTCTTCTTGGATCTCTTAGCTTCCTACCTTCTGGTATGAAGGTATCTCTCATGCAAACAAAAAATAATAAGCAAGGCAAGCTGTCCAAAGCATTAAGACCTGGTTTAAGAGATAATAATACTTTACTCCTTTAAATGATGAAATGACAAGGATTTCCACTACCACAAGGAATGATGGAGGTAGGTAAGGTAAACAAACTAATCAAATCATTGATAGCTAGTGTCAGAAACAAGATCACTAACCAGAAGATTGATTTAAAAATGTCTTCTAATGGAGTTGGTGTTCTTGGTAAAAAGTCATCCTGGATTGACATCATGTTGATGTATAATGGTTAGTTTTATATCAAATGTTAACTTAAAAAAAAGGATGGTAAAATAAAGACTGCAACTAATTATAAGATGAATAAGTAGCCATAAGCATATTATTCTTCAACAGTAATGGATGGCACATAGAAATAGAATATACACTTACAGAATATTCTATACAAACTAAGAATCAAATCTATTGATTAAAAAAAAAAAACTAAGAATCAAATCAAGAAAAAACCTCAAGAAATGGAACCTTGTATCAGGAACAACGTATTTTTCACTTAAAAGTACATTAAGATGATTTTAGCTATTCAGGAGATGTACTCCGATGGTTGTTTTAGAAGATTTTCACATTGCTGAAAGGGAACAATAGCCTTAGCAGGTGAAATACTATAGTGCTGCCCTAGAAGGAATGTCTGAGATAGTTGACTGAATGCTATTTCCCTTCATATTACTTTTTATGGTAGATTTTTTTTGGTAAACCCTTTTATGGTTAGATTTAGCCTAGTATCAATCTGTGGAACATTGTAATCATAAATCTGAAAAATACAATATTTTTTGTCACATTCTTACTAGTGGTATTCCATTGATAAACAATGCTCATGTTTGGCTTTCATCTAGGTCTTTCCAATGCAGTGAGAGAAAAGGAAAATGTACCTTCAATGCAACTCTGCCCTCATCAGTGTGTGTGTGTGTATATATATATATATATTTGTAAATCCAATAAAAAAAGGCCATTGCCCAATGTTGGTCCCAGCTATCTGGGATCTTGGGAGGAGTAGCCAATGATGGACAGAACATAAACAATTATGTTGTATGGTAAATCTGCCTTTATTCCACTCATCATCATCATCATCTAAACCTTGTCCCAACCATATGGGGTAGGCTACATGAATCCTATTTCGCCATTCTGTTCTATTCAGTGCCATATCCATTGTTAAATTATGAGCACTTAAATCATTTCTTATTACTTCCACCCAAGTCCTACTATGCTCTCTTCCCTTCAACTCTTCTATTTTCAGTTCCTCCTTGGGTCTTTCACTATGCTTTGCTTTGTTCATATTGAGTTGGCAAATATTCTGACTGAGACAAAAGAGAAGTTTATGCTGAATGAAAAGACAAAAAATAAATCTAAAGATGCTAATGGGAGCATGAACTCCAACAGGTAACAATGAAAAATGAAACTCTTCCTCCTTTCTTCCCCTTCTTATACTTCACCTTCCTTGTCCCACTAGAAGACTTAATGGATTTTGCTTGACTTTTATGTTCAATCAAGATTAGAGTCCAGAAATATTTCTGAGTTTGTATATGGTCCAGATAAGAATCAAGAAAGAGATTAACTAGGGTTTTGGTATCGGAAGCAAGAGATGGAAAGTTGAGATTAGGGATAAATGGGTGGATAGTTGGATATTTGCAGCTAAATTAGGTTTCGGAATAAAAGACTTCAATATGACATTATATAATAGGGTTTATGGCTAAATATGTTTCTGCATAAAGGATATGGCTCTTTGAGAAATCGGGTACCTTCTTTGTGAAATCCTTTTTTAACAGATTGTCAAGATCAGGACTGTATCATCTAATCTAGCTTTTTTTGTCTGGTCTGTAGTGCTGGACAAGATCCTAACTAGGGACAGTTTAGTCAGAAGAGGTATAGAGCTGGCAATTGGAATGTGTTGATTTCCTTTTTTTTTTTTTTCGGGGGGGGTATTCGGGACTAGCTGTATTAGGCATACTGTTTTTCCTCTGCTGTACAGGACTACAGGAGTTCTATTCTATCTTGGCTTTTTTGGTTCTTGATGAATTACTTTACTTACCTTCAAACTAAAATGAAATTACCAAATTACCCTTTGAGATTCTATGACCTAACACCAATAATGACAAAAATTACAAAAAATACCCATTGTAAAGCAAAATTTGACAATTCACTAGCATTTCCATAGAGGGCGTGAGTCACTACCAGCCTTTGTTGAGAAAAGCGTGTGGAGTTAGTGCTTTAGAAAAATTAAGTTAAAAAGGACAAAACGATCTTAAAAATAACACAAGGGTAGGTTGGGGTTTTACAGATGTATAAACATGTACATGACAGTCACATGGGAATATTCCATGTAATTAACTGATGGAAATGGTAATAGCAGTGGGCAAGGTGCTGAATCCAGAAGTACAGGGGGTCTTTGTCACAAAACAAAGTTCAGGGGGCTATCACAACCCCCAAGTAAAGGTTCAGGGGGTATTTGTAATTTACCCTATATAATAAGCCCTGATTTACCACATTACATCTTTTTAAGCTAATATACTCATTATGTTAATGAGTTCACGAGTAATGAACTAATGATATAACAGAGGAGGGGCATTTCTGGATTAAAAATACATATTATAAATGTAAATACCTCTGTATATGTAAGTAGATCTACTCTTTAGTCTTTATTAGATCAGATCAGGTCACATGTGAATGTGATATGATCATAAGGATTCTAATATGGTGATTCAATTCAATTGCATGGATCTACAGCAGGACTGAAATTCATCCTGTTTGGACAAAATTTTGACCAGAACCCAATACATTGGTATCTCTTTTTTTCCCCTCTTTGATGAGTAACAATTGACAGCCGTAGTCTACAATTCATGAGTAATGCATTTTTAGTTATTCATTTGTAGCAAACCAATTGCTTATTTATTTATTTTCTTCCTTTTTTTTAATCAATAACAACAGATTTCATTAAAGAGTAGTAAACTTACAAAGAAGAGGAGCTAAGGTATCTTAACTCCCCAGAAGTTGGGAATGCACCCAAACTGATAAAAACAACAATTACAACTGAGCCCATAACCCAGAAACCCTATTAACCCCTTCCCTAGCTAATCCATCAGCAAAGGAGTTTGCATTTCTCTTTACCCAAGTACACTGAACTTCCATATTCTTGATCATCCATTTGAACTTTCTCTTTTCATTACTGTAGCTCCACTTTCTACGCATGTGTTAATTGATACATCTCTTCAGACATACTTCCTGGTACTTTAATTGATGTCAAAACTAACTTTGGCTATGACTAACAGAGTAAGGGAAAGTTTGTTTGATCACTTTGTGTTTGTCAGATGTTCAGAATAAATAGCAATTATATTTATTAGCTATGTTTATGATATTATTATCTCTAGTAATAACTTTGATGGAATCTATAATTTGGAGAAATTTCAAACAAAACTACAAGAACAAGGAACTTGCTTAGCTGAGATACTTAGATCCAAGGAAGTGATTCTCAATGAAGGTATAGGTTCTACAGAGAATGGAATGTTTAGTTATATGACAATGTCATTTTTTTTTTTTGATAATTGAAATATGACAATGTCATTATTATTGATGCTAAAAACAAATTGTTGATGCATCTTGATGATTTCTTTAAGTTCCCAAGACTTATGCTTCATATATGCAGGCGGAGCTAGGATTTTTTATTTAGGGGGGCCAAAAGCTAGCATGGCTCCCCTCTGCCACCCCCTGGCTCCGCCCTGTATATGCTTTTTATTGACATTGTGGTTAATTTAAAATTAAAAACCCACCAGTAACAAACATATCACAAACTATGAGAATGTTGAACTGAATCAAAAAGTGATTAGTCAATCATATCTTAAATAGTAAAGATCAATTTAATTCTTTGGAAATTTGTTAAAAACATCAAATGTAACTGTAAAAACAAATAGAAAAATGAGTCTATTCCATCTTCAATCTACATGTTTCATATAAATAATTGCACCATAAGTTTACCAAGAAACTTTTTTTTAATCATATTAAAAGAACATGTTAGAAATAAATGTGCCAGACACCCATATTATAATCAACTTCAACCATGAAGGCAATTGATCACACATAAAAGGTAGGTATAATTTCCTATGTGAGTATTACATTTCTTTTTATTTATCAAAAAAAAAAAAAAAGGTAGCTATAATTTCATTACCTTCCCCTAAGAATATCTAGCTAGACTGAGGAAATGATAGTTTTAAATGAGATTGAGCAACTCTGTTGATTGTATTCCCCTAATTCCTCTAAACCTCATTATGGTAAGCAAGAAGTTTGTATTGGATTCAGCTACATCCGAATATGATCCAATTATAGAATTTCTAAATCAGAACCTGATAATGTAGTCTGAAATATCAGACTCAACCAAATCTGGATTTAATCTGAAGCCACTCTATTGTCATTAAAATAAAGAAAAATAAAAAATTTATCTTTTTACTTATACGTATATAAAAAATGTTTATAAATATAGAATATCATATATAATATCTATATATATGCATTATTTTATTACATATAATTGGACACAAATTTTTATTAGATCGGATGGAGTCAAATCCACATTGATTCAATTACTAAAAGGATGCAGGTTTTAACATCCAAAGCCAAGTAATCGGATCGGATGTTGGACCAGATATCAGATTTTCTGAGTCCATTGACAGCCCTAACCATTACCCAATGTTGGTACCAACTATTCCTGGGTATAGGGAGGAGTGGACTGGATATGGGCCTAAATTCTGCATTTTTTTTAATTGTACAATGTGGATGCTCTCAGACTTCAATCTAAGCTTGTCAAGCTGTCAGCCCAAGATTTTTCCATTAAACCAAGCGTGGCCTCTAGCAAGGAGTTTGTAACGCGTTCTAAAAATTCAATGGAAATGAAGATTTTAACAACCCACTCGAAAAACTTTGCATTTCCCAGTTTATGTTTTGGAACTTTGGCCTGATAAGCTTGATGCAGTAGGGCTGGAACAAATTAACACAAGACAGAAAGAGAGAGGAAGAGAGAGTAGAAAGGGTAGAGAAAGAAAAAAGAGAGAAATCCCAAGGAATCACTCCAAGGGGTCCTAGAATCACTCTAGGGTTTGTAGGAATCCTCCATACAGCAAGATAGCTCTTAAGAAATCTTCATTCATTCATTCATTAGCCTCAAAAGGAAGAGAATACATCTATTTATAGAGTGGCTTGTGTGGCCCGGAACACTGTTCA